GATCCGTATCACAAACGTAAGCGATTCTGTTCGACAAATCTTTGAATCTTGCAGTCGGTTACGGAGGTCGGTGGGGATGTACCAGTTTCGAAACGGCAAATTATTTTTCTCAATCACGGTTCACAAACAAGACAGTGGAATCACAAAGGTATAAAAGCGCTTCTAGCTTAACACTACACAGACAAATACTAGACAAGGACTGCCGAAAATCAGAAGTAGAAGCTGAGCGGGGAGATATTCAACAGTCCCCGGGACTCTCCTAAAGTTAGGATTGTTGTTTTCCCCCCGGCTGCTCTACCTTTGTGCCGCGATCAGTGTGACGCTGTCAGAAAAGTCACATTTTTTTTCAGTCGTTCATAGACTGTGCGAATCGGTTCGTTCTAAAATCAAAGCCATGAGGAACTATTATCAAGTTCACTTGGTAAAAAAAGGTTGAGAACCATGTGGAAACCAAATCAAATATTATTTGAACAGTCCCACAAAACACGTAACGAGAGTACCAAGTGGCGAACAAACGTTCCCAGTGGTCCATAATCCTTCCAACACAATAGCTTATCTTTTTTCATTCGATAAACAGTAAATAGGCCAATCAACTGAAATTTTCTAGCTTCAATTTGATAAAGTATGTGACCACTAACTACTCACGCAAAATCCATCATCCTGAAGAAATTAAAATATATTCTGAGCTTGAGGTGTGCGGCTCTCTGAATAGACGTTTTGTAGCGCCACCATGCTCAAACTGGGTGAAACATCCAAGAGGCCGATCTGTTGATCCAATTATACAATGGATTTCCTTTTACCTGCTGAAGAAGTAAATATCTGTCCCGCTTAATCAGTTAGAAGGGAAGTAAATACTGGGCGTCTTGTTGTAGTCCTCCCTTTCGTGGCATTCTAGATATCGTGAAATTTGTTGCACAGAAAAGGGAGGTTTTCGGTAACTATATCACTCGCGAAATGCATTTGCAAAAGTCTTCCTCGTCCCAGACAAAGCTTGACGTCGCATCGCCCACGAGGTCGATGCTAGAAAAGGTTTTGATCTCGACCAATATTGCTTTTGTCACATTTATACAGTTTCTGGATGAATCGAGTCCAACCTCCAATTTATTCAATTACCGCTCAAAAGTTGAGACTTCAATGTAATCGAAAACGTTACCATATGCTGGAAACAGGCGTAAATGTTAGCTGCCTCGACAGTGGTCGTCGGAGGACAGGGTACTGTATGTATTAGAAAACAATGTCAAATGCCGTTTAATATCCAACTGGATGGACTCCATGCAAAACCGACTGGTTTCAGTGCTCAAAAATAACGAGGTGCAAACAGAACATTAAAAAATGAGTGCAATATCCGTATCATATATATGAGTCATTTTTGTCAATAAACTTCAATTAAGCATATTTTACAGAGGCTTTGTTATCTTACAACTGATGCAACAACAATGGTCTTCAAAGTCGAGAAATGGTACATTTTATTAGCATTTGACATCACCAGTTACCATCCATCCTGGATTTAGTGTTGACAAACGAAGAGTTGATGATAGAATCTGTTGCCGTTACGACCCCTCTGGGATGCAGTGACTATGCTCTACTGTTGTTCAAATATATTTTTTACGCTTCTGTCAAAGCAATCAACCCAAAAAAACGTTCGCACATTCATGGACTATGCAAAGTTGGAGAGCTTGGCTCCTTCCATTCAATGTATATCTCATAGGGAAGAGCACAACCCTTTATCCATGTGGCAGGAATTTACTGATAGTCTGCAACAACTACTGGCGTCAGTAACGCAGGTAAAAGTTGTTACCAAACCGGAAATCTCCTATTCGAAGCCGTACAAAGAAATGGATATTTCTGAGGGACCTCGCTTGGAGGAATTACAAACGACTTCCGAATGCCTGCACCTGGAACAATTACCGACTGCTGCGAAAACCACTGCACCAAGTTAGTGAGCGAATATAAACTAAAACATCAAGAATCTCTAGCACAGAGATTTATTTCAAATCCCAAGCTTTTGTACAAACATGTTAACTCAGCCCGAAAAATTAAACATGAAATGCCGGTACTCAGTTCTTCTGGGAGAGTCATAGCCAAGACGATGGAGCCCGCTGAAATGCTGAAGAACCAGTATGCCCAAGTGTTTGCTGTGTCAACTAATGAAGGACTGTACCTCCCTCGCTGGATGCAATATATTCCA